TAGGGAAGCTCCATGTTTAGCAGTTTGAGGAACCTCCAAACAGTTTTCCATAGTGGTTGTACTAGTTTGCATTCCCACCAGCAATGCAGGAGAGTTCTGTAGAGGAAGCACTTTTGACATAAAAATAGAGAAGATCCAAAAAAAGAGTCCTAGAGATGGGGTTGAGGGAGTGGAATACAGGTTGTAATTTACTGCATGCCTTCTCAGTGAGTAGCCACAGGATGGCTAGCTTCGTTCAAATCAATTTATACCCCTGGGGTGTCTGAACATGTACTCTTTAGTAGTAAAGTGGCCTCACACACCTCGCTGTCTAAATCTTTGTGTTTATTAAAGAGAAAACGAATTGTAATATTAGTATGTATGGTCACATAGAGTAAAGGTTTCATGGTTGAGCACAGTGACTAGGAATTATGTAGAGTTTCAGTTCTTCTTCCAGGAATTGCTGCTATGGGCTGTCTTTCTTTCACTCTCTGTTGATTGTGCTTAGTCTCACAACCCCAGGCACCTAACTGTTACCTGTCATGGTCTCTTCTACTCTGTTATGTTTTTGGTGTGGCCCTTCGCCAGAATCTGCAGCACCTCTGCCCTGGCTGGTGCATCGTTGAGTCTCCTGAGAGTGGAACCTTTGGAGCTTCTATTTGATGGCTTCCCCGGGCCCATTTTAGCAAGCTCTCTGTGAGACACACTACTTTTTGTTTTGTAAAGATGCATTTTTTTTTTCAGGTTCTTATTTGAAAATAATTTTTAATTTATAACAGGTTGAAAAGATTTGCAAGATACTATGGAGTTTATAAACATTATAACCTTTTATCTCTGTGCTGGAAAAAGGAGGGGGAAAAAAAAGAATGCAGTGGATTAACAAGGCCAGTGCTGATGATTATGCAAAACTTATATGTGATCTTCACTTATAATTTGCCTGTTTTTATATTCTCTCTTCTATCTTATTCAGGAAAAAAATCAATACCTTTAAAGTAGCTTGAGTCAATTAACTAGTATTTTTAAAGTACTTGTACTGCAGTCAACCTGGTTTTTTATTGCCAAAGACTGGAATATGAAAAATGTAAAGTTACTATCAGGAAAGAAGACATAAATACTGAAAAAACCTAGAGAAGAATGAGATGGTCCCTCTTCTTGACTGTGTTAGGTATCCGGGGAGGCTGGGGAAGAGGTAGAGGATAAAGAGGGATTTAACCCCAAATCTTGGGATCAGTTTGATTTTGGATCCATGTCCAGGTGCTGTGTTGAACAGCCAGCTTGGTCACGGAGGAACCAGTGGTGTGTGTGAACTGGGGGGAAGCACTGAGGCTGTGGTGCCCAGGTAGAGGAGCCCAAGATGAAGAAGTGCTTTATAATGGGCACTTTATAATATGGCTTTAAACATAGTTTAGGTGACTCTATATCAAGTTTTGGTGCCATTGGCAGCCATTCAGGAAGAATTACAAAGTACATTCTTTTTTATTAGTTTATTTTTTTATTGAGGTATAGTTGACACAACATACATTGTATATATTGTTAGCTAATTGCTACATAAGGTTTACATAACATTTTCCACCATATGTAGTTAAAAGATTTTTTATTGAAATGACTACATTTAGGATTTATTCTCCTAGCAACTTTTTTTTTCTTAGTTTATTTTTACATCATTTTGTGCCTTTTTCCATCTGTTATAATCACCATGGAGCTCCACCACCAATTCACCTGTGTGCCATCATCATAGTCTGTGCACTTTTCACCCCATTTTTGATCCCATTCCCCACTCCACCCCCATACAATGTCTCTGGTATATCGTTGTTCATTGTTTTTGTTTTTCCTTTGTTACAATTCCTTTCATTTTTTTCCCCGGTCCTTTATGCTCCTACTATGAGTGAAACCATCCAGTATTTTTATCTTTCTTTCTGACTTATTTCACTAAACATGATCTTTTCCAGCTCCATCCATGTTGCTGCAAAAATCATGTTTATCTTTCTTGATCACTGAGTAATAATCCATTGTGTCTTTGTACCACATCTTTTTAATCCAGTCATCTACTTTTGGGCATTTGGATTGATTCCATGTCTTTCCTATTATAAATAAAGCAACAGTAAACATGGGGGTGCAACTGTCTTTTTGAATCAATGTTTTTGTGTCCTTTGGGTAGATATCTAGGAGTATGGTGCTGTCTCATATGGAAGCTCCATTCTTAGCGGTTTAGGAACCTCCAGTTTTCCATAGTGGTTGTACTAGTTTGCATTCCCAGCAGCAGTGCAGGAGAGTTCCTTTTTCTCCACATCCTCGCCAACACTTGTTGTTAGTTGTTGTAAGATGTGCCATTCTCACTGGGGTGAGACTGGTATCTTATTGTGGTTTTAATTTGTATCTCCCTTATTACAAGTGATGTTGAACATTTTTTTATATGCTCGTTGGCCATCTGCATTTCCTCTTTGGATAAGTGTCTGTTTAGCTCTTCTGCCCATTTTTTTGATAGGGTTGTTTATTTTTGTTGAGTTTCAGCAGTTCTTGTATATCTTTGTGATCAACCCTTTATCGTTAGTATTGTGTGAGAAAATTTTCTCCCAGTCATTTGTTTTGTGTAATGTCTCTTTTGCTGTCCAGAAACTCTTTATCTTGATGTAATTCCGGCTGTTTATCCTTACCTTCACTATCCTTGCTTTGGGTGTTGTATCTTTAAAGATGTTACTGAGGTATATGTTACATAGTGTTTCGCCCACCTTTGCTTCCAGGCTAAAAATTACATTCTTATATAAATAATACCAAATGGGGGAAGTAGGAAAAATTTGAGGAAAAAAATGTGCATAGAGAGAATGAAACCTGCAATTACATGATGGCACTTTTAACAGGGTTGTTTAACTGGATTGCGAAATTATGAATCTTTTATTCTAAGTATTTTTTTCCTTTAGATATCTCCACTTAAGTGCATTCCTAACATTAAGAATAGAAACAGGAAATCTTAGTTATTCTAATTTTATAGCACTTATAAAGATGCTTTTATCAGCTATCACCACTTTATTCATCAGAATGAATGTATGGGTTACTGACCACCATAAAAAGAAAGCAAGTTTGGGTAAAATAAACTAGAGTTTACTCATTTTGGTTCTCTTGTCTCTAAGCCACTCTTGTGCTGGCTTTCTAAGATTCTTCTCTGAGCACAGGCCATCTCCCTTTTCTCCTGAAGCATCAGGTCCTACTCATGGATGCAGGCACCTTATATATTAATGTTGTCCAAATCATACCCAGCACATTCTCCCCTCACCCACTGTTCACATGGCATGTCCATGTCCCATAACCTTCTCTGCATGGCTAATGTGAACTTCCCACCTTCCTTTTGAACTGCTCCCACTTGCTTAGTGGTCTTCACCCACCTGTCCACTCCTGCTGGAACTCAATATCACCTTCACTACACTGGAAACATAGATGTCATGGTCACTTACATGTTCTGCACATTTTACTATAGAAAATATTCTTAAAATCTTCTCTTAACCATTGGTTGCCAAGGCAAACTATTGTAGGATTGACACCATAAGAGTTTCCTAGTTAATTTGTGATCCATGTATGTGTATTTATTAAAGGCCCCAATGAGATTCTATGTAGTCAAGAACTATTTACTTCAATTGTTTCTAAGAACCACATAACTGAAATGAATATAGGAGCCTGCAAGCACCTTGGAAATCTTGTAGGGTTAGCTGATGTTACAAGCACATTGCTCTGGGAAGTCTCTTTTCTTCATTTTTTTAATACTTTATATTTTCTTTTTTTTTAAGATTTATTTATTTTTGCATACAGAACTGGGATACAGGCCAGAGGTGCAGGGGTGGTGAGAGGATTCACCAGAGACAGAGTGGGGAGCAGAACAGGCAGATCCACAAAGTACACTGCTGAGGGGAGCAGCTGGCGGGTCAGGAGAGGTCTGCGGTGCCATGTGGTCACCTCCAGGGCATGTGGGGATTAAACTCATGCTGAAGTAGCTTTAGCTTTTTAGTGCTGTGCTTAACCCACTGCGCCACCAGGGAGTGCCAATACTTTACATTTTCTATGAGTACTTCATGTTTTTAGAAAAAGTAAGTTTGACCTAGCTAACTACTTAAACGTTAATTAATTCAGTGTGTATCTGTTGTGTACACTTGTGTAAATGGTATGAGGAAATAAAGATGCAACTCTTGTTTCAATGTTAGTCTAATTGAAACATACCACACAACTTTTTTTTTTCTTCTTTAAGGTGCAAAATGACCTAATCATACAGAGTAATGGGAGCCAATATTCTCCAAATGAGGTAAGTTTCCTGAAAGTTAATGGCAGCCAAGGTATTTCATAAAGTCTGAATTGAAATTTTTTTTAAAAAAAGATTGATTTATTTGTACATACAGAACTGTGGTACAGGACAGACGTACAGGGACGGTGAGAGGATTCACCAGAGACAGTGTGTGGAACCTAACAGAGCAGAACAAGCAGATTGACTAAGTACACTGCTAAGGGGAGCAGTGTGCAAGACAGGAGAGATTTTCTACACCATGGGGTTACCCCTCTAGCCTGGGTTCTAAATCTTGTTGAAGCGGCTGCGGCTAGCTTCATAGTGCTGTGCTTCAACTGGTTATGCCACCAAGGAGGGCTCATCTTTAACGTACTGTAAAACTTCATTGAGGGGTTCTCATTAGCTATCATTGCCTTTCCTGGCTGTATTTATAATTAAAGATTAATTTCAACCTAAACTTAAAGTATAATTCAATAAATAAAGATACAATTTGAAAAACAGATATGGGGACATCTTTATAGAAAAGAATGAAAATAGCTCAAATAGTCACTATCATTGTATGGTTTCATAACAAACCATCTGTTTAGTGTTACCTGTGTTTGTATCTCACTGTGTTATGAGATTCTCCACAGATGTGCCATCTGTGAAGTGTGTGAGTGCTTCTGTGTACGCTCAGGCATGGGCACTGCACCCCTCTACTGGAGCAGAAAAGGATTTCCAGGTTCACAAGTTATGGTCATAACTTGTTTTCATAATGAGTGAATAAAAATCCAGTAGATCCTTTCAAAACAATTCTGTTGATTATTCCTCATAAGCATTTGCATTACAAAGAGTAAGAAGTATGTTAAATCTTTTATGCTATCATATAGCAACAAATGCAATATGTTCAGAGAAGCATGCATAGATCTGCTTTGTTTTGTTTTTGTTTTTGTTTTAATTTCCTCTCCTTCTGACACTACAGATAAGAGAGCATTCTCCTGCAGTCTCTCCTACTACAAATAGCACTGCTCCATTTGGCCTGAAGCCTCGATCAGGTAAATTCAAATCTCAGCCTGTTCTTAACACTGTGACAACATAGCATTTCTGTTTAGTCTTTAAAAATGTATGTTTTTAGTGTGAACAGCTTTCCCACTTTTTGAGTTCGAGTCTTGATATCAGAATCTTGTCATAGCTTGAAGAGGCTACGTTTGGGCACTTTATTTTCAGTGCATCACCTGTTAAGTCCATGTTATCGGAAATACGTATTGTTTTTTAGATTGATTTATTTATGCATACAGAACTGGAGTACAAGCCAGGGGTGGTGGGAGGATTCAGATCCAGAGACAGAGTGAGGAGCAGGACAGGAAGATCAATTGTGAAGACACTGCTGAGGGGAGGAGATGGTGGGGTCAAGAGAGGTCTGCTGCGCCATGTGGGTCACCTCCAGGCCAGAGATGGAACACACACTGAAGCGGCTGCTGCTAGCTTGCAGTGCCGTGTCCTAACCTCTTGCATCATCAGGGAGGGCCTGGAAAATAGGTATGTTAATGCTTTTTGAATCAGAACAAGGAAAAAAAAAGTGGTGGGGCATGCAAGAGGGGCACAGATGTTTTGAGTTTTTTTTTTCCCAAGGAAGATAAAGCATCTACCCCCTTGCCACAGGAGTTCCAAGTACCCTGTGAGTTAATGAGCAGCCTCTGGGGGTTTTGCTGGGGGCAGCGGGAAGAGGTGACTCCTTTCTGAGTTGTTTTCTGAGCCTGGGAGGGCCTGTATATTTACTCATACGAAATGATCATTTCAAATCTCATATGTGCAGTCAGAAACATCTCTCTTTTAAAGAACCTTTCTGCTTATTTCTTTTACTTATTTTTGGTATAGTCACAGTAATAAATTACAACAATGTGTAAAATAACTTGATTTAAGAAAATGTTGTATATGGAAACTGTAGTTCTTTTGATATCTCCATGTGCTTATTGAAGTTCATATACTATTTTCCTTCTTTTAGATCCTTCTTTGTTTTAACCACTTTGATTCTTAGGTTTTCTGCATATGCTCACTACTAATGCTTTTAAGTAATTCCTAAGAAAGGACTGAGACCCTTTTAAGCAAAAGCTAATATAGAACACAGGTGTTTTGGGGCTTTTCAGTAAATCATTTTGGTAGTTAATAAAAGTTATAAATATGTATATTTTGAAAAAGGGTACCTATAGTAAAAAACAAAGATGACTATTTTATATTGGGAAGTTTTTATTTTTATTTATTTATTTTCATTTTTGGAACTGACTGATGGATAACATGGGGCCAGGTGTAATGAAGTCCTGGTACTTTTAAAGGGATATAAAACACAGCCAATTGAATGCATGCATGAGCAGGGTAAAGGGTACTAGGTGCCTTATGGGAAGTGAAATTTTGCATGAAATAAAAATTGATAACTGGACTTCTTACTCATGGGACTAAGCCTGTGCAGCAAGATCTGGGCTGGGCTTCCAGTGCCATGGGCTCAGGAGTGTGCTGAGGATGGAGGTCACTCTGGGCACATCTCAGTGCCTTTAGTGGTAACTCTTCGGCCCAAAGAGTTCTCTCTACACACTGAGAACCCCCTGTTGGGCTGTGGAGTTTCTTATAATCTTTTCCAACAGTTTTACAGAATTAAAAATTTTGCAAAGAACAATATTCTGAAGAGTGTGCACCTCTGCCATTTTAGTTATAAAATTTGTCAATGGCTCTTTCATCTCTTTGTGGAGTCCAAACTTGGGTTATCAGTGTGATGCTTGCACTGTGAAACTGTTTCAAGTCCTTTATAGTGGTGAAAAATAAAAGGAAACATTTATTTGGAATAGCAGAAAACAAAGATAAGTTCCGCTCCAAGCTTCTAACCTTTCTTTAATGCTGACTAACCAATGTGGAAATTGTTCTAGTTGAAAGGTTTATGGAGCTTTAAATAATGTTGGTTTATCTTCAGGAACCTCAAGTGACATTTGGAACTTCATAGAACTAGCATTATGTATTGAGAAATATAATTTAATAATTTTTAATACTGAAATATGTGTTTTTCACATGTTCTAGAAAATAATAATCTAGTAGTTTTAATTGAAGTTTCTGTGATTTAAAACCTATTTTTTTTATTGAGTAGCCTTGAAACATTTTAAAACCACTTAATTTTTATTTTAAAGTTAATATGGATTTGTGTGACTTCTGTGTTAGAAGTTAAATCATATTATTCAAGTCAGCAAGTTTTGGAATAAGAACTTAAAGTAAGTTGATAGTTTTCTTAAAAGGAAACTTTTTTTCGTTTATTTGTTTTCCTCCAAAGAAAGATTACTATATATATGCA